AAATTCCAATGCAAGAAGGATTCTAACCAGTATGTGGTGACTGCAGGATTCAGGTGACTTCCATCTTGAGGTGCTGCACTCTCAACACATGGCCTCAATTACTGTGGCAGAGGCACCTTTCCTTTGACTTATAGGCCATTGACCAGAATTAGTTGCATGTTCTCTGACCTAGCTACAAGGAAAGTTATGAAATACTATTTTTTCTTCTGGTCAGGAAAAGAATAGAAAACAGGATTAGGTGAATGCAAAGCATTGCCTTTGCCACAGTTTTAAGTATACTCTTTGAAAGTACTTTTTCTTGTACCAGTTATCCTTGGAAAAGGAGAACCAAATTAACCTTGTTACTCATCCCTGATTCCTCCTGAACATGATGGAAACTGGAAACAAAGCATGTATTCACATGTAATTAACGATCTAATCATGGAATTTGGAACAACCCTGTTTTATTATTGCCTTCAAGATTTAATGTCATGATTTGTTTTGATTGGATATTGAAAATGGAGATGGACTCGAGATATAAGAACCTTATCAGTTCATAGTATTGCCAAGTAAAGTCTCCCATCATGACTTCAGGTTAGCTTTTTGAAAATATTACCATAAAAAATGGTTTGTACATCTCTGATAATAAATATGGTCATACAACTTCTATTGCATTAGCAATTGATGAAGTTGAGAACTTATATTAATGAAAATGAAACTATATTTAATAAAAATACTCTATAAATGTAACAAAGATAAATGAGGTATTTTCATAAACTAAAATTGTTATCTCTTCTGCAGGCATTTTTAACTTAAAATAAGAACCAAAACTTTCTCCAAATTTTATAGTTTCAAGCTATTTTGAACTCAACCAGAATTATTTCTTCAAAACGAAATCTTCCTTTCAAAGTTTAAAGTGTAGTCAGAGAAGGCAGAAATATTTGCTGTGGGTTTGCTTTATTAATGTGAAGACATTTTGAGTAAAAAGAAGAATCAATGGTTGTTTATCTAACATACCAAGATTTTTCCTTGACACACTACACATTTGGAAGGGGCCATATAGCTGTCATTTGAGGTCTGTGGGTTGACCTACTGGGTACAACAGCAGGATTATATATGGTAGCTGGCCTGGCAGGTCTGAGCATTGGTACAATATTTATGAATTCTAGCTTTGCTCCTTGACTCAAATAAGTAACAGGTGAAAGTTAAAAAAGTAACTCTACTGTTAGGAGTGAGGCAAAGTTATACGTTAGCCAAACAAACAAGCAAATGAAACTTTTAAAAGTAATTCCACAGAAGAGATTTATTTTATTTTGTCATTAACAACATCGATGGCAAAAGCTAAGGATGAATGAGAAAAGTGGGGAAAAGCATATTTTTGAGCTCTTAGCTTCAAGCTGAAAACATAAAGGTTTTTGTTTAATTTCTGCTCTCAGCCTTATGGCTCAAAGCCATAACTGTAAACCAGGAAGTTAAGGGACAATTTTTAATGAAAGAGGAAAAGAACTTGAAGACCTTAGCTCTCTTCTGTAAGCTACTCTTTCTTGTCTCAAAATATGGGGGAGTAGACATAGCTTTCTGCATTATCCTGAGACATAAACCTCAGGAATAGCTAAGGCCAATGGTCAGAGGAGCCAAGAGAGAACCAGTCATGGAACGTTGTGTGGCCAAAACCAGTCATGGGACCAAATTGGGTCGATGTCTTAGCCATTGGAGTGAAGATGGGCTATATGATAAGAGAGATGGGGAAGACATCTGAAAATGTCCTTAGTTGTAAGGCTTAAAGAATAAGTTATGGACTTTCCAGCTGGTGGCTCAAGATTATGGTCCCTTTGATGATCAGATACTTATAAAAGGAACACTAGCTGTTTTAGCTGTTTATTAAAAAGTGTGTGTGTGTGTGTGTGTGTGTGTCTTGGAAACTTGGGGAAATATATGCCAAACTTAAAGATTTAATAAAAATAAATATCATTTACCAATATTTTTGTCTTATTTCTTCTTAGCTGTTTTTAAAAGTTCTAAGCCAATAAACCACCTCAATTATTACAAAACAAAGAAATACCTTAGAATAAGTGACCAGAGTATTGTCTTGAAAACCAGAAATATTGATCAAGAAAGGACTATGTGAGGTGAGTCCAACACACAGTACCGTGATGTGTGATGTCCAGAAGAACAGAAGATGCCAGGAGACTCCAGATACAGCAATGACAAAGAGCAGTCCTGCACCCAACGTTATCAAACCTTCTAATTCAATCATTAGGTACTGAGCTAATGTAGAGAGAGGCTGAAAATCATTTATCTAATTGGCAAGAACCAGTGTGGAAGGGGGCAGGGTGAGTAACAGAAGAAAACACAGTGATTCGTAATTGAGGTCCTCAACTCATGGCTAGAGAGTTATAACTCCCAGGTAAGATAAGATTCATAGTTAATAAGGCGATACCAATAGCTGACATTTGGGATATATATTTTTCCATATAATTAAGTTGGTGGTTGGTATATGTTCTTATTACTTGTCTGTTTTCCAAAGTTATGAATTAAATAACCCTTTGAGATACTATAAAAACGAAATCACCTGCCTGATCCAGATGTGACCGTTTGATAGTCTACAGTCCTAATAATGTTCTGTAGTCAGGCATTCTTCCATAAGTAACATTCTTAGAGAGATAGGTCCCTCAGTGGCTTCTGAGCCAAGGTTCGGCCTGGCTTTGACATCAGCCTAGTGCTGTACCTGCCATCCTTTCACAAATTCAAGGGTATTTATTGAATGCCTACATTGTGTAGGCTCTGTCTGAGTAAGACCTAATCGTTGCCTTTCAGGTGAAGGCAGTGGTAGGAAAAGCTTTCTCTGGTGGTGGTCACTCTACTTACCACATTATTGGTCAGCCAAAGCCATTCTTTGCAGGTACAACACTGCTGATGTCAAAGCCAGGCCTAACTTCTGCTCAGAAGCCACTGAAGGACCATTCTCTTCAAGTGTGTTAATTATGAGAGAATCCTGGACTACAGAACATTATCAGGACCCTAGAGTAAAGCAAATATGGGAAATAATTTGGGGGAATGAGCAAAGTTAAAAAACTCTGTTGTGGAGAAAACCAGCTGTGTTTTGGAAAGTCAAGCGGGCAAAGATAGTGGAGTGAACTAAGTATGTACTTAACCAAGCCAGCTCGAGGAAGAGCCCAGTGGCCTTATCTACCATATGGCTCCTTTATAAACTATTCCACTCCAGCAGAATTGACCATGTCCATCTTTATCCACTGATCTACCATGAACAGTTTTCAGCATATATACCTTTAATTCTGTTGCTTTGTTTTTTCACTAAAAACTGTCATATTCATCTTTGTATCACCAGTATCTAGCATAGTAGTTGTTTCTAACAGGAATTTAGGTGACAAATTATGTTATCTGCCCTAGCAATTGCTGTCATACTGGTAGTATCTAGACTTTGAGAGTGTATTAGGTGAAAAGGTGGCTAAAATAATTATGTCGGCTCCATACAGATGAATGATTCCTAGAATATGTATCTTGCCTGCTCCATAGTAATTTGCACAATGCTCAGCAAGGATCTAGTTTTTGCTTAATACATACACAATTACTTGATATTTAGACAAGCTGAGCCAAGTGGTACTGCTTGCTTTATTTAACAGCTGATGGCTGATGTCTCCTCTTTAAAGTGGATGTAAAGGATATGAAAAGAGAGTATACAATTGGAGCCTGGCACGGTGGCTTAAGTCTGTAATTTCAGCACTTTGGGAGACTGAGGCAGCTTGATCACCTGAGGTCAGGAGTTCAAGACCAGCCTGAACAACATGGTGAAACTCCGTCTCTATTAAATACAAAAAATTAGCTGGGTGTGGTGGTGCATGCCTGTAATCCAAGCTAGTTGGTAGGCCGAGGCAGGAGAATTGCTTGCACATGGGAGGTGGAGGTTGCAGTGAGCAGAGATTGTGCCATTGCACTCCAGCCTGGGCAACAAGAGCAAAAACTTCGTCTTAAAACACACAAACACACACACACACACACACACACACACACCCATACACCATTGGTTCTTAGGTATATGGATCAGATACCCAACCTTATTCATAATAAAAGAAATGTAAATTAAAACCACACTGAATCTCATGAAAGCTGATGGGTAAAAAACAAACAAACAAAAAACCACACTGAGATGTGGTTTTTACTTATTAATTGGCAAGATCAAGAAACTTAATAATAGTAGTTTCAAGAACATGGAAGTGTAAAACTAGTACAAACTAGAAAAACTTCTAGACAGCAATTTGGTAATATCTATCAAAATTAAAATATAAATACCCTTTCTTTCAAGAATTCCACTTCCAAGGATTCTGGGATCAATATGCTCATATGTGTAAAATGAAGAGTCAGCAAAGTTATTCCTTGCAGCATTGTTTGTACAAGCAAAAGACTGGACATAAAATGAATGTGTAGTCAGCAGATACCTGTTTTAATAATGGCAGTATGTACAGTGGAATACTATGCAACTATGAACATAATGGGGATGACTTCTTTTTGTGTGTGTTGGTAGAATAATCCCTAATACATGCTAAGGAAAGACAAGAAAGGTACAGGACAGTGTTATAATTATGCTATCCTTTTCTAAAAGAAGAGGAAATGTGTGTGTGTGTGTGTGTGTGTGTGTGTGTATGTGTGTATGTGTGTGTGCATGCACACTTGCACATGCATAAGATATCTTTGGAAGAAAGCAGAAGAAACTAGTAACATTATTTGCCCTTGAGAAAGAAAACCAGGTGACCAAGAGGTAGGAATGGGAAGGAGAGTTTTCCCTCTGTGCCCTTTCATATTTTGAAATGTAGAACCTTATAACTACATGGGCTATACAAAAAAAAAAACAAAAAACAAGAGTAAAATAAACACAGTTAAGTTATGCCACTTGGCAGGGAGCCAACGTTGCCATGGTCACTGGCTGCAGCTGTTACACTGGTGTGGTCACCTACAGTGACATCTGCTGGTGCTTCCCAACAGCACTGTGAGGTCACTGTTTTTCAAACTTGATTTCAAAGTGGGCAATGGAACCAATTGTAGTGGGTCCAACCAGCATTAAAAAAAATAAAAACAAGAAAGAATAGAAACTATCAGAGTACATAACAAGTAGTAAAGGTAAATAAAGATAAATACTGTTGTATGAATTCCTGATTTTAAAAATATTCTTATGTGTTCTGATATGTCTTTCTTTGTCAAAAATCTTAGGAAGTCACCATCCTCAGTGGGGACCTTTCTCAGACAATCTATTCTTCCACCGTTCTTGAGCAACCAAGATATTAAAAAGGAAGACTTGAAGTTTCTATGCTGCTTGACCCAGAAGTTTCTCATTATGGATGTGGGGTTCTTACTTTTGAAGGTTGGTCTCTCTGCTTTTGTCTCCATTACCATTACATTGTCTCTATTCATGCCAGCTCCAGGCTGTGTGTCTCTAGACACGAAGTCACATTCATTCTCCTTAGCAGTACATCCCATTCCACGGAATACTGTGGAGTCAACAGGACTGGCTGGAGTTTGGATGTGGTGGCTAAGAGCAGAGACCTGGAGTCTTTCATGTACCCTGAGCTTCAGAGACCCCTGTAACCATGTTTCTTTTCAGATTAACCCCAGTTCCTTAACTCATGCAGCTGCACCATCAGCAATGCCTCTCTCTCCATCCCTGCTTCCTCCTATCTAGCTTTTTTCAAGATCCTACCCAGGGCTACATCTTCCGTGGAAGTTTCCCTGATTCCCTCAGCCAAAGTGATCTCTCATATAATCATCATGCTCTCTTGATTGCATCAGAATGAAACACAGCTCAAATGGGGTTTAAACAAAGAGAATTGGAGCTCAATTAATTTAGAAGTTCACAAATAAGTTGGACCCACAGACTAAAAGATATCAGGAAGCATTACTTTGTTTTCTCAGTGATCCTACCAAAAGATCCAAGATATGACTAGCCTAACCTGGGTCATTTGCCCAACACGGAATCAGTCATTGTAGCCACTGAGGTTAGAATCCACTGATTGGCCAATCTCAGATTGCACACTTGGTCCCCAAGAGACCAATCTGGTCATAGTGAACAGCTATGTGGTGTGTGAAAAAGGGGTGTTCCTTGAATGTATTCATTAAAAGTGCTATGAATTGAAGAGGGAGAATGAATACTGGGCAAGCAAAAACATGTGTTCCTGTCAACTTGTAATCTGTACAGTGAGAACAACAACTTCTAAATATATTTTCTTGTGTTAATACTTTACCTATGTGCTATGGTTTGTATGTTTGCATCCAACAAATCTCATGTTGAAATTTAATCCCCAATGCGGTGGTGTTGAGATGCAAAGCCTAGTGGGAAGTATATGTGTCATGGAGGCAGAGCCTGCATGAATAGATTAGTGCCCTTCCTTGGGGGTGAGTGAGTTTCCACTCTATTAGTTCCCTAGAGAGATGATTGTTGAAAGAGCCTAGCACCTCCCTGCTCCCTGCTTCCTCTCCAGCCATGTCATCTCTGCACAGCCGGTCCCTTTTCCCTTCTGCCATGAGTGGAAGCAGCCTGAAGTCCTCACCAGAAGATGTCAGTGCATGCTTCCTGTACAGTCTGCAGAACTGTGAGATAAATAAACCTCTTTTTTAAAAAAATAAATTACCCACCCTTGGGCATTCTTTTATAGTAACAAAAAAGGACTTAGATACTATGTGAGAATGAATCATTCACAATGCAATTGTCAGACAAGTGAGATTAACATTTCAATTCTCAAGTTATCCGATTGTTCTACGTTTTCCAGGCTTTGTCATGACTTGTTCACTCCCAGGGCTGCTTAGATCTCCACTGACCAATACTCATGGAGAATTGAGTAATCAGTTTATAAAATCTATAACAACGATAAAAATACTGAATTCATTGTTTTTGCCCATTGATCTTTGTCAAATATTTTAATCACAATAAAAATTTTAAATTTATGAAAGGAAGACCAAAGTTCATTTTGAGGAAGACATCTCTCATTTCGGCTTTTGAGCATTCGTTCTCAGGAAACAGAACATATTTTAGAAGAGAAACATCCTAACACATCTGGTGTGATCTTCTAGTTATCTAGTTTAAGCCAAAAAAGGTGGCATCATCTGTTTTTCTGTCATACATTTTGAAACATGAGTTTCTGAAAGCTATTTCCTAACATATGTCAATTTAACATCTGCTGGTTTCTAACTGATAGCTAGAAACAGCGCACTGGCAGCCCTTCCAATAGTGCCGAGGTATTTCCCATTAGAATTGTTTTCACTTCGGAGTTGTCAGTCATATTTTTACTCTAGGGTAGCCTATTTTCCTAACTTGAAGGAGATACATGAATGGAAGCACAGAGAAGGAGGAATAAACAGAATGATATATTTACAGTTATGTGACAATACAGCAGAGAAAGATTTCAAAAAGAAATATTATAAAAGAGAGTCAATGTCATACGTCACAGATTAAACACCTTCTCCTGGCAAAGCATGCTTCACTATGCTACATCTTAATCCATCCTTGTTATTCAATATCAAGAGTATTTGAAAGCAGAATTAAAATGTATTACCCATATCTAAGAGTACCCAACCATGTCCAAAGCTTCTCTAACATTTCTTCTCCTTTTTAATCCTTTGATGCAATTTAAAGTGCATCAGTGAACTTCAATTTCTGTCTGGGAATTCATAACAGAATAATATTTTGACATTTATTTTTGAAAGAAGGAGCCTAAGTGTTTGTCCTGGGAGAAATCAGCATTTTTGCTTGCCCTAAAGTAATCTAGTGCTTATAAACATTTAGCAATGTTCAGACATAGTAATTTGGAGCCTGCAAATTATTGGTGTCATTTGTGCCTTTTAATACATTCTCTCCATCCCAATAACATTATTGGATTTTATTTCATTGGACTTTAAAGTAGAGATATCATTGTGGGCTTGTTTAGAACAAGGCTAGCTTCATGTTGTTATTGCTATATCCTCAATGTCAAGCCAAGTGCTGCATATGCAATCAGTAGAGAATGAATGAATCAATTTTGTCCCAAGATTCTGAGATCCAAAATTTACTTTTAGAGTCCTAAAAGTGAGGTATCTTGAATAGCCTTACATAAATTTTAAAAACTATCAAATTGATTTTGGTAAAGAAAGAAGAAGTAAGTTCTAGGACTTACTTGAACTTTCGTAAGGAAATTTGGATGGTAGGTCTCTCTAAATAAATTTTGGATGCACTATAAACCAAACACCATTTATGGTGATGGCTGCTCAATAACTTTTCAGTGAAGACAGTGGTTCTGAATATAATTGTAAGGGTTATGGAAAGAGAAGAAACTTTGGAGACCGATAGTCTGGAGTTGAAATCCTGGATTCACTCCTTACAAAATCATTTAACCTCTACTTTTTTATCTGCAAGATAGGCATAATACTATGATGCAGGGTTGTTATAATAAATTCGGTACAATAATAATGTACACAAAAGCTTAGCAAAATATCTGGTACTTGACGTCACTTACTAAGTAGCAATCATGATGATCCTTCTTATAACGATTCCTGATATTAGCTGCTCTAATAATTCAGAGAACACTCAAATTACATGTAACCCAAACCCTTTAAAGCTTTATTAAGTTAAAGCTAAACTCACCTTGTGTTGTGTTAGTCAATATAGCAGAACCATAACTATAGACCCTACAGGTAAATGTGTATATTTCCATACATGCATACTTCTGTTCCTTTCTTTTATTTTCTTTTTCTTTTCCCTACCTTCCTCCCCCCTCCTCCTTCCTTCCTTCCTCCCTCCCTCCTTCCCTCCTTTCTTTTTTTTTATATATATATATATATTTTTTATTGCATTTTAGGTTTTGGGGTACATGAGCAGAGCATGCAAGACAGTTGCGTAGGTACACACATGGCAGTGTGTTTTGCTTCCTTTCTCCCCTTCACCCACATTTGGCATTTCTCCCCAGGTTATCCCTCCCCACTCCCCCTCCCACTGGCCCACCCCTTTTCCCCCCAATAGACCCCTGTGTTTAGTACTCCCCTCCCTGTGTCCATGTGTTCTCATTTTTCATCACCCGCCTATGAGTGAGAATATGCGGTGTTTCATTTTCTGTTCTTGTGTCAGTTTGCTGAGGATGATGTTCTCCAGATTCATCCATGTCCCTACAAATGACACAAACTCATCATTTCTGATGGCTGCATAATATTCCATGGTGTATATGTGCCACATTTTTCCAATCCAGTCTATTACCAGTGGGCATTTTGGTGGATTCCAGGTCTTTGCTATTGTAAACAGTGCTGCAATGAACATTCGTGTACATGTGTCCTTGTAGTAGAACGATTTATAGTCTTTTGGATATATACCCAGAAATGGGATTGCTGGGTAAAATGGTATTTCTATTTCTAAGGCCTTGAGGAATCGCCACGCTGTCTTCCACAATGGTTGAACTAATTTACACTCCCACCAACAGTGTAAAAGTGTTCCTTTTTCTCCACATCCTCTCCAGCATCTGTTGTCTCCAGATTTTTTAATGATCGCCATTCTAACTGGAGTGAGATGGTATCTCAATGTGGTTTTGATTTGCATCTCTCTGATGACCAGCGACGATGAGCATTTTTTCATATGATTGTTGGCCTCATATATGTCTTCTTTCGTAAAGTGTCTGTTCATATCCTTTGCCCACTTTTGAATGGGCTTGTTTGTTTTTTTCCTGTAAATCTGTTGGAGTTCTTTGTAAATTCTGGATATCAGCCCTTTGTCGGATGGGTAAACTGCAAAAATTTTTTCCCATTCTGTTGGTTGCCGATTCACTCTAGTGACTGTTTCTTTTGCCGTGCAGAAGCTGTGGAGTTTCATTAGGTCCCATTTGTCTATTTGGCTTTTGTTGCCAATGCTTTTGGTGTTTTGTTCATGAAGTCCTTGCCTACTCCTATGTCCTGGATAGTTTTGCCTAGATTTCCTTCTAGGGTTTTTATGGTGCCAGGTCTTATGTTTAAGTCTTTAATCCATCTGGAGTTAATTTTAGTGTAAGGTGTCAGGAAGGGGTCCAGTTTCTGCTTTCTGCACATGGCTAGCCAGTTTTCCCAACACCATTTGTTAAACAGGGAATCCTTTCCCCATGGCTTGTTTTCGTCAGGTTTATCAAAGATTGTATAGTTGTAGATATGCTGTGTTGCCTCCGGTGCCTCTGTTCTGTTCCATTGGTCTATATCTCTGTTTTGGTACCAGTATTATGCTGTTTTGATTACTGTAGCCTTGTAGTATAGTTTGTAATCCGGTATTGTGATGCCCCCCACTGTGTTCTTTTTGCTTAGAATTGACTTGGCTATGCGGGCTCTCTTTTGGTTCCATATGAAATTCATGGTGGTTTTTTCCAGTTCTGTGAAGAAAGTCAACGGTAGCTTGATGGGGATAGCGTTGATTCTGTAAATTACTTTGGGCAGTATAGCCATTTTCACGATATTAATTCTTCCTAACCATGAACATGGAATGTTTCTCCATCTGTTTGTGTCCTCTCTGACTTCGTTGAGCAGTGGTTTGTAGTTCTCCTTGAAGAGGTCCCTTACGTTCCTTGTGAGTTGTATTCCAAGGTATTTTATTCTTTTTGTAGCAATTGTGAATGGCAGTTCGTTCTTGATTTGGCTTTCTTTAAGTCTGTTATCGGTGTATAGGATTGCTTGTGATTTTTGCACATTGATTTTATATCCTGAGACTTTGCTGAAGTTGCTTATCAGTTTCAGGAGTTTTTGGGCTGAGGCGATGGGGTCTTCTAGATATACTATCATGTCGTCTGCAAATAGAGACAATTTGGCTTCCACCTTTCCTATTTGAATACTCTTTATTTCTTTTTCTTGCCTGATTGCTGTGGCTAGAACTTCCAGTACTATATTGAATAGGAGTGGTGAAAGAGGGCATCCTTGTCTAGTGCCAGATTTCAAAGGGAATGCTTCCAGTTTTTGCCCATTCAGTATGATATTGGCTGTTGGTTTGTCATAAATAGCTTTTATTACTTTGAGATACGTTCCATCAATACCGAGTTTATTGAGGGTTTTTAGCATAAAGGGCTGTTGAATTTTGTCAAATGCCTTTTCTGCGTCAATTGAGATAGTCATGTGGTTTTTGTTTTTGGTTCTGTTTATGTGGTGAATTACGTTGATAGACTTGCGTATGTTGAACCAGCCTTGCGTCCCTGGGATGAATCCTACTTGATCATGATAATTAAGTTTTTTGATTTGCTCTTGCAATCGGCTTGCCAATATTTTATTGAAGATTTTTGCATCTATGTTCATCATGGATATTGGCCTGAAGTTTTCTTTTCTTGTTGGGTCTCTGCTGGGTTTTGGTATCAGGATGATGTTGGTCTCGTAAAATGATTTGGGAAGGATTCCCTCTTTTTGGATTATTTGGAATAGTTTTAGAAGGAATGGTACCAACTCCTCTTTGTGTGTCTGGTAGAATTCAGCTGTGAACCCATCTGGACCCGGGCTTTTTTTGTGTGGTAGGCTCTCAATTGCTGCCTCGACTTCTGACCTTGTTATTGGTCTATTCATAGTTTCAGCTTCCTCCTGGTTTAGGCTTGGGAGGACACAGGAGTCCAGGAATTTATCCATTTCTTCCAGGTTTACTAGTTTATGCGCATAGAGTTGTTTGTAATATTCTCTGATGATGGTTTGAATTTCTGTGGAATCTGTGGTGATTTCCCCTTTATCATTTTTTATTGCATCTATTTGGTTGTTCTCTCTTTTCTTTTTAATCAATCTGGCTAGTGGTCTGTCTATTTTGTTGATCTTTTCAAAAAACCAGCTCTTCGATTTATTGATTTTTTGGAGGGTTTTCGTGTCTCAATCTCCTTCATTTCAGCTCTGATCTTAGTTATTTCTTGTCTTCTGCTGGGTTTTGAGTTTTTTTTATCTTGCTCCTCTAGCTCTTTCAATTTTGACAATAGGGTGTCAATTTTGGATCTCTCCATTCTCCTCTACGGGCACTTATTGCTATATACTTTCCTCTAGAGACTGCTTTAAATGTGTCCCAGAGATTCTGGCATGTTGTGTCTTCGTTCTTGTTGGTTTCGAAGAACTTCTTTATTTTTGTCTTCATTTCATTGTTTACCCAGTCAACATTCAAGAGCCAGTTGTTCAGTTTCCATGAAGCTGTGCAGTTCTGGATTGGTTTCTGAATTCTGAGTTCTAACTTGATTGCACTATGGTCAGAGAGGCTGTTTGTTATAATTTCAGTTGTTTTGCATTTGATGAGCAGTGCTTTACTTCCAATTATGTGGTCAATTTTAGAGTAGGTGTGATGTGGTGCTGAGAAGAATGTGTATTCTGTGGATTTGGGGTGGAGAGTTCTGTAAATGTCTATCAGGTTTGCTTGCTCCAGGTCTGAGTTCAAGCCCTGGATATCCTTGTTGATTTTCTGTCTGGTTGATCTGTCTAATATTGACAGTGGAGTGTTAAAGTCTCCCACTATTATTGTGTGGGAGTCTAAGTCTCTTTGTAAGTCATTAAGAACTTGCCTTATGTATCTGGGTGCTCCTGTGTTGGGTCCATATATGTTTAGGATCGTTAGCTCGTCTTGTTGTATCGATCCTTTTACCATTATGTAATGTCGTTCTTTGTCTCTTTTGATCTTAGTTGCTTTAAAGTCAATTTTATCATAGATGAGAATTGCAACTTCTGCTTTTTTTTGCTCTCCATTTGCTTGGTAAATCTTCCTCCATCCCTTTATTTTGAGCCTTTGTGTATCCTTGCATGTGAGATGGGTTTCCTGGATACAGCACACTGATGGGTTTTGGATTTTTATCCAATTTGCCAGTCTGTGTCTTTTGATTGGTGCATTTATTCCATTTACATTTAGGGTTAATATTGTTATGTGTGAATTTGATACTGCCATTTTGATGCTAAGTGGCTTTTTTGCCTGTTAGTTGTTGCAGATTCTTCATTATGTTGATGCGCTTTAGCTTTTAGTGTGATTTTGGAATGGCTGGTACTGGTTGTTCCTTTCTATGTGTAGTGCCTCTTTTAGGAGCTCTTGTAAAGCAGGCCTGGTGGTGACAAAATCTCTCAGTACTTGCTTGTTCGCAAAGGATTTTATTTTTCCTTCACTTCTGAAGCTCAGTTTGGCTGGATATGAAATTCTGGGTTGAAAGTTCTTTTCTTTAAGAATGTTGAATATTGGCCCTCATTCTCTTCTGGCTTGTAGTGTTTCTGCCGAGAGATCTGCTGTGAGTCTGATGGGCTTCCCTTTGTGGGTGACCCGACCTTTCTCTCTGGCTGCCCTTAGTATTTTCTCCTTTATTTCAACCTTGTTGAATCTGACGATTATGTGCCTTGGGGTTGCTCTTCTTGTGGAATATCTTTGTGGTGTTCTCTGTATTTCCTGCAATTGAGAGTTGGCCTGTCTTGCTAGGTGGGGGAAATTTTCCTGGATGATGTCCTGAAGAGTATTTTCCAGCTTGGATTCATTCTCTTCGTCTTCTTCTGGTACACCTATCAAACGTAGGTTAGGTCTTTTCACATAGTCCCACATTTCTTGGAGACTTTGTTTATTCCTTTTTGCGCTTTTTTCTCTGATCTTGGTTTCTCGTTTTATTTCATTGAGTTGGTCTTCAACTTCAGATATTCTTTCTTCTGCTTGGTCAGTTCGGCTATTGAAACTTGTGCATGCTTCGC